CACCATTTACTTCATGAATATTTCATGAAGCCTCCGCTCCGAAGTTTCCAGCTGGCAGAGCCAGGAGCCGGGGCCGGACCGTGGCCCCTTCTGCCCCGTGCTGAGGTGACAGGGACACACGTGCTGGTGTGTGCCCGGGCCAGCGTCTTGTCCCATCCCCGCTCCTGGAAGTCATGTGGCTGCCAGCGCTCCACCAGTGCTCCCCAGGCTGCCATGGGCAGCGGCAGCAGCAGCAGCGTCCCTGGCTCTGTTAGCTGGAGCCCGCGGGGGCCGAGGGCAGGAGCAGCGTAGGGGGATGCAGAGTGCCGGGACGGTGTGTGGCAGCCCCGAAAAACGGTGTTTCTCATGCCAACAGGCTGCTCTGCTTTCCCCCGCTGCTCTTCCTCCCCCTCAGGTCCTTCCTGCTCACTGGAGCGCTCCTTGCCCACCGCAGCATCCCCGGCAGATGCCGTTACCAACCTCTCACCCCTCCCTGCGCTTCGGTGATGAAGACATTCAGTGCAGCAGCTGCTGCCTCTGGTCCCTGCAGCGCCTCACTCCTTCTCTGCTTCCTCCAGAGGGCCCATCCCCATCGTGTCCCCCGGCTCTCTGTGGGATCACCGTGTCCCCATTTTGGGGGTAAGCCACCCAGCAGCACCTCCTGACATCCCCCCGGTGGGCAGGGCTCGTCCCTCCTGGGGCACCCTGACCCCACTGCCCCGCAGCCAGGAGCTCTGCGGCCGGTGCCTGCACAGCGCTGGGCACTGCTTTGTATGGATGGCACAGCTTTTGGGGTAATGAAATATTTACAGGTCAGTGGTTTTGTGAGAAATGACAGGGATCAGTCAATTCCTTTTCAGGGAGTAATTTTCTTCCCCTTCGTGGCCTCTGTTCCGTGTTGACAGTCATTAGCACGAGCGAGCGGCCGGATGGGAGGGGGAATCTGCATCTGTCACGCAGATGAGTCGTGCTGGCCACGGTGATGCCTGCAAGGGCCCAGGACGCCTGGGGGCTACCTTGGGCCATGCCAGGACCTTTCTGTCTCCACTGGGACATTTCTTGAATCTGTCTCTGCCGCTCAGCACAGTGCCACCCCGTGCTGCTCCAGGGCAGCGGGCATCAGGGCAGGTGGTCCCGCTCGCTCCAGTTTCCTGCTGGTGGGCACTGCGGGTCCCCCACAGGAGACGTTTGGAATTGCTGAGCGCCCTGCCCTGTGCTCAGCAGTGACCTCAGGCTCCCTCTCCATGTGGCAAGGGTGTGCCCTGGCATTAGCAGGCAGGAGCCATTCCAGGTCACAGCAAAGTGTTTTCTGCCAGCCCTGCCCTGCCTGCAGGGTATGCTTCCTGCTCCCAGTTTGCAGGAGCACCTGGGGGGCTCTGCGGATGCTGTGGTGCCGTGGGCACCTCTTTCCCCCCACAGCAGGTGTCTGGTTCCCAGTGGGAGGAGCAGGACAGCCAGAGGCAGTGGGGACCGCTGTCAGGGTGGGGAGGTGTGTAGCGACAGGACTGTCTTCCCTCTCCAATTGCTCTGGCACTCCCCATGTGCCTCCCTCAAGCTGTTCATGCACTGTGACCTCATGGTGACATGAGCAAGCAGGGTCAGCTGTGACTGGGCAGTGCCATGCCATGACCAGGCAGTGCCATGCTGTGACCTGGCAGTGCCATGCCGTGACCAGGCAGTGCCATGCTGTGACCAGGCAGTGCCATGCCATGAACAGGCAGTGCCATGCTGTGACCTGGCAGTGCCATGCCGTGACCTGGCAGTGCCATGCTGTGACCTGGCAGTGCCAGTGTTGTGCTGTGCCACCCCTGCACCATCAGCACCGCGTGGCACAGGTAGGGCACAGCTGCGGGCAGAGTTGCCCTGGGCTGGAGATGGAACTGGGGTCAGGCCAAGGCAGCAGGATGGCCACGAGGCTTGGAGGAAACTGGCACGTCTGTGTTGGCTGCGGTGGCGGCAGGGGATGGGTGCTGGTGACAGCCCCGAGCCCCAGGCACTCCTGCGTGCCACCGTCACTCTGTGCTGGCACACCGAGGTTTGGTGGCCCATTGCAAGCGCTCGTGGCTGGCAGCTGCCTCATCCTTCCTGCAGGGCTCTGCACTCGGCTGATTGCTCTGACCTGTCCTCTGCATCCGGGGGCTCCTGGCACATTGTTTTCTTAAAAAGGAGCAAATGTGGGAAACGGCGTCGTCAGCCCCGAGCTGACAGGCACAATCACCAAAATGCGGTGTCGGCAGGAACTGGCCCCACGCTAAATGACTTGAAAGGAAATGGCCTGGATTGTGCTGAGGAGGCAGAGTGTGGGGGGAGAAAGCAAGTGGAGCAAACAAAAAAACTTCATTAATTAAAGAAACTCGTTAATGAGGGACATTTAATCAGCTAAAGATGATACCTACCCCTTGCCTGCTGCGGCAGGCACTGCGCAGGGCTGGTGGTGCGAGACGGAGCCGTGGGCAGGGCGCAGGACACTGCACAGGGGACACTGGGCAGGGGACACTGGGCAGGGGACACTGGGCAGAGGACACTGAGCAGGGGACACTGGGCAGGGGACACTGGGCAGAGGACACTGGGCAGGGGACACTGGGCAGAGGACACTGGGCAGGGCACACCGTATGGGGGACACTGCAAAGGGGAAACCAGGCAGGGCAACTTGGGCAGCCTGTGCCAGCCTCTCCGCTGCCATCCCTGGGGCAGTGCTGTTTCGGCACAGGGTCGTGCCGCAGTCCTGCTGGTACCTGCCCGGGCAGGTGGGCAGCAGAGCTGCCGGGGTACTGCTCGTGCCCCCTGTGCTGCCAGCTTTGCTCCAGGCTCAGGCACTGAACTGACCTGTCTCATCATAAACGAGGCCAAGGGCTGTTAGCATCACAATTTATTTTACAGCAAGTGTCGAAAGCACTGTGTGGGAGCATCCCCGCGCCCCAGGAGGATGGGTGCTGGCAGAGCAAGGGATGTCTGTCAGAGCCCCTGTCCCTGGCACCCAAAGGCCAGCACTGTGCCACGGGCTCCCTGCATGGCCAGACACCCCAAGCTGGGAGCTTGGGTGCTTCTCGTGGGCTGCAGAGGTGGGTCCCCAGGGACCCCCTGGGTGCTCAGTGCAGGGGAACACCCAGAAAGGGCTCCAGCCACTTCCAGGGAGGAACAGAGGGACCCTCACTGCTTGGGGCTGCCTGGGGATGGGGCTGTTCCAGTGGTGTGGAACAGGGTAGAGTGATGTCAACGGGCACCACACAGCCAAATCTGTCAGTGTTCCCTTCCCCGTGGGACCCTGGCCCGCAGCAGCCCCACTCGAGCATCTCTGTCCCCAGAGGGGGTGGCCAGGCACGGGGAGCGGACAGGAGGTGCTGGAAGCCGTGGGTCTGTGTCTCTGCAGCACCTGCAGCTCCAGCGCCATGAGCAGCAACCAGGGGAACTTAATGGTCCCTGAACGGAATAATACCCGGCCTGACAGGCACTGCGACAGCCCTAATTAACAACTGATACAAACGTGGCTGTTGGGACAGCCCTGGGAGGACCCAAGACCAGGGCAGGTGGGGACAGTCCCTGCATTCCGTCTGCCCGCTGACGTCCTGGTCCCTGCGTGTTGGTGGCTGATGCCGGCTGCAGTGACAGCAGGGATGTCGCTGTCCAGTGCGGGGCAGGCAGGAGGGATGTGGGCTGCTCCTGGTTGAACACGTGCAGGCAGGGAGGGACGGGCACGGGGCACCAGGGATCAGGCAGGGAGGGATGCAGGCGGGCACGGTGGGAGAGTGGCCACGGTGGCTGTCGGTGTCTGCCTGCTCCCTGGAGAGGAGCTGGGTGCCGAGAGCCGGGCGGGCGCAGGATGGAGCCCTCTGGCGCAGGATGGAGCCCTCTGGCCCAGGTGGAACTGGCAGCTGCGGAGCGGGCAGAGCGTTGTGGGCAGCTCCCGGGGCAGGGCCGTCGATGGGCTCGGCTCCTGCAGCGAGCCAGCCCCGGCCCACACAGGCAGGTGCGTGGGGCTGGCGCTGAGTCAGCTCGGGCAGGCGCTGCCGCTGCTGCCGATGACTTGCAGATCTGCAGCGGGGCGATCCCCGCTGCCTTCCCGCGTGTCCCCCTGCGGCTCTGCTGCCACCCTCACAGGCGCGACAGCCCTGCGGGCTGGGGATGGCGGCTGCCGCCCCCACCTTCCCTCCCCAGCATAAATCGGCGACACACGCAATTAATGCGCTTGTCTCTGCGGGCTGAGCCACGGATGGATTTCACGGGCCAGAGGCTGCTGCGGCACGCTGTAAAGCATCCAGGGGCTGCGGGCGCTGCTCCGCGCGGCCCCGGGACCGGCCCTGGGGGCCGCAGCTGCAGCGCAGATGTGCGAGCGGGACCGTGGCTGTGTGCTGGGCTCGGAAGATGGACAGGAGGTGGGTGGGTGTGCAGACCACGCTCAGCCTGCGAGCCCCACACTGCGCTCCCAGCCCCACACGAACCCCAGCAGCCCTTGGCCCTTGGCGTGGGTGCAGCTCACCCCGTTTGACCAAGGCAGCCAAGTCAGCTGCGTTAGAGCGAAGGGTCTAATCAAATATTTAGCAGTTAATTGATCCCTGTCTGGTGTTTGCCAAGGGGCCATCAGCATCCCTCCCTGACGCCCCTCCCTGCCCAGCCAGTGTCGGTGCTGTGCAGCTCCCAGTGTGATGCTGCTGGCCGGGCTCTGCTTTACCCTGTGCTGGGCTCCAAAATGGGCCTTGACCAGCTCTCCCTTCCCAAGGAGAGGCATGTGCCATCTTCAGGAGTTAAACCCTACATGGAGACCTCCGTCCTCCTACCCCATCCCAGCACAGAAGGCAGGCAGGGCATAGGAGCAGGAGAGGATGGGGCTCAGCTGCTGGCAACGTGACCCCAAAGCCACCAGAGCACAGAGACAGCCCAGGGTTTGAGAGAAACACCAAGGGCTGGGGTGTAGTGGGGTGGGTGGGGCTGGGGCTGGCTGTGGAGATCAGAACCCCATCCTGGGGCAAGTGGCAGCCCAGATGTGCCAGCAGCTAAGGGGGATGGTGCCGCTCTCTCGGCAGGGTAACCAGGACGCCACGGCTCCGCCGGACGCGATGGCTCAGCCCTACCCCCCAGCCCAGTACCCCCCGCCCCCCCAGAACGGGATCCCCGCAGAGTACGCGCCGCCGCACCCCCACCCCACGCAGGACTACTCGGGGCAGAGCACGGTACCAGAGCACGCCATGACCCTCTACACACCAGCACAGAGCCACTCGGAGCAGCCAGGCACCGACGCCAGCACACAGTCCATAGCAGGGACACAGACGGTACCGGTAAGGCAGTGCCTCGGGGTGTGCTGGGTTCAGGGCAGTGCCACAGGCACTGGGGAACAGCCCTGCTGTGGGGATCCGGGGCAGTGCCAGAGCTGCCAGGAGGGTCCTGGGGCAGTGGTGCTGCCTGGCCAGAGTCCCACAGGGTGCCAGGCTGGGTGTTCCTACCATCACCCTCCCTCACAGCCCCCCATCATTTCTCATCACCTGTGATCCACTTGCCTGGCTCTGCTCTCCAAGATCGTGGCCATTACAGGGCTGGAAGTGCAGCCCCAGGAAGGCGCTGAGCTCAGCACTTTGCAGTCCTTCCACATGGTCCTGAGAGCAGTGTCTGGACCCCCACCCTGAGCATCCCCACAGCCCCACCATCATCCCCCTGGCTCAGCAGGAGGGAGGGACATCCGTGGGGTACTGCCCAGAACCTGGGGACCACGGGGTCCAGGGTGTCCCTGGGGGCAGGCAGGGCCAGGCGCAGGGCAGGGGACGTTCCCCCCGCTGGGGACACGGGGCTGGCACGGCCAGGGGCTGATGGCAGCGGTGCCTCCCACAGCAGACAGACGAGGCGGCACAGACAGACAGCCAGCAGCTACACTCCTCAGACAACACAGACAAGCAGCAGCCCAAGAGGTTACACGTCTCCAACATTCCCTTTCGATTCCGGGACCCCGACCTGCGGCAGATGTTTGGGGTGAGTACAGCTCCATGCGGCCATCCCTGCTCAGTGCTGCCCCTTGGCACCATGGAGACCTTGGCACTGTCACCTCCCAAGGGCCTATCCTGCCCAAGCCCTGTGTGTGGAGTGGGGAGTGACACAGAGCCCTTGTCCCCCTCCACTGTCCCCTTCCCAGCCCTCATTAGGACTCAGAGCAATGCCAGCTAATGAAATTTTGGATGACACTCCCCAAGTCCTGTCAGAGTGGGAGCCATGGGAGGCACAAGGGCTTTCCCCTGCATGTCCCTGGGGTCCCCCAGTGTGGTCCCCAAGGCAGCCCTCTGCCTACCCCTGGCACAGAGCCCCGTGCCAGCAGCTCTGGGTGCAGGGCCAGAGGCTCTGCAGGCACTCACCCCTCTGTTCTCTCCACTTGCAGCAATTCGGGAAAATTCTGGACGTGGAGATCATTTTCAACGAGCGGGGCTCCAAGGTGGGTGATGCCCATGGCCAGCACCATTCAGCCAGTCCCGGGGAGGGTGCCAGTGGAGCCAGGTTGCCCAGCAGTGCTGTAACCTGCTCTCCCCTCCTCTCCTGTCCCATGGGACCCTGGCATGCGGTGCCCCATCAGGGCAGCCCCAGCACCAACTGGGGAGGTCGCGCAGGCCCCTGCACCCAGCCCCGGAGGGAGGAGAGGGCTCGCTCTGTCCCACCACGGGCAGCTCGTGTCCCTCTGTGTCTGGATGTCTCTGTTGTATCTTCCCCACTTTCTGTGCCCCTCTCCCAGACTCTTCTCCCAGCTTGTGGGCGATTCTGGGGCCTCAGCCGGGATCCCCGGCCCCTGCGGGACCCCAGTCTGGGTTCTTCATCTCTGCACTGTGGCAGCCTCACCTCCTGCGCCAGCTCTCCTGATTCACTCCCTCTCTCTCTCTGTCCCCACACCCTCTCTCTGTCTCTCTCTGTCTCTTTCTTTCTCCTTTTCTCCTCTGCTCACAGGGTTTTGGGTTTGTAACTTTTGAAACTAGCACAGATGCCGACCGGGCACGGGAGAAGCTGAATGGCACCATCGTAGAGGGCCGGAAGATTGAGGTGCTCAGATAAGTGTGCTAGTGCCGTGCCATGCCTGCGTGTGCGTGTCCCCTGCCCGGGCTGCGGGACGCTCGGGGCAGCTCCGGGTCCGGGTGCCCGCGGTAGCTGTGCCCAGCGCGTGCATGTGTCCCTGAATGTGGCACGGGAGCATGTGTGTCGGCTGCCGGGAAGGTCATCGCTTGGCACAAGGAGTGTCTGGCCCAGAGGAACCTCCCGAGTGCACAGAGAGCTGGGGTGCCAGCTGGGGCTGCCTTCTGCCTGGTACAGACGAGTCTGGCAGACCCCCGTGCCCACAGCAGCCGCCCCAGGCTCTGCAGGGAGCTTTGGGGCTCTGCCCTGCATGCCCTCCCCCCTGCTCTGTGCTGGGAGGGAGCATCCACTGCTGCTCCACACCTGCAGCTCCACACCTGCAGTGCCACAGCTGCCCAGCCCCAGAGGCTTTGATTTCTCCAGGCTTAGCACAGGGATCAGGCTCTGCCCATTTGCCAGCAGCTCCTCGCTGGTGGCTGGCGAGTGGTGGGAAGCAGGGTGGCACGTGCAGAGGGAGTGGGACAAAATGTCCCCAGCAGTGCTGATGCAGAGAGGGAGCCTGGCAGGGCACAGCAAATGCCCCATGGACAAGGGAAACATCACCCAACAAAATCAGGCAGGAGCTCACGGGCAGCATGTCGGGGCTCAGCCTGAGCATGGCACCGCAGCTCTCGGGGCACCAGCCAGCAGCCCGAGCCACGCTCACAGCTGGAGGAGCATGGAGGCCTGGGCTGGCCAGAGGCACGGGCAGGTCTGTGTACAGCGGGGTGCTGCAGGCAGAGACTGGTCTCGTGTCTCTGGTGCAGCCGGCATCCTTTGCTCCGGCATCTGAAGCAGCAGCAGCAGCACGGCGGGCCCTGGACCACAGCCTCACCAGCTCCACGTCCCTCAGGCACTGAGCCCCCGTCCCTCTCTCTCCAGGTGAACAACGCCACAGCCCGTGTCATGACCAACAAGAAGGTGGCCAACCCCTACACCAACGGTAAGGGCCAGTGTCCAGAGAGGGGGGCTGCGGCAGGCAGGGGCACCTCCGGGCCCCGGCACTGGCTGGCTGCCGTGAAGCTCTGGCAGTGAATGCCCTCCACGCCTGCAGGCAAATGGGAGAGCAGCTGCTCGTGCCCAGTGCAGGAGCGCAGCTCCCCGTGCCCTCCTCCTGCCTGGGGATGGGGCTCTTACCCCTCAGAGCACCATGAAGAGTGCCCTGTCCTCACCAGCTTTCCCTGACCACAGGCTGGAAGCTGAACCCAGTGGTGGGAGCAGTCTACGGCCCCGAATTCTACGCAGGTAACGTCGGGCTGCCCCCAAATGTCAGCTTTGCACTGTGTCTGCTGCTGCTCTGTGCAGTGAGCAGCCCTGGCCCCTCTCTCTGTCCTTCACACCTGCCTGGACAGTTCCCCCTATCTCATCCCATCCCATCCCATCCCATCCCATCCCATCCCATCCCATCCCATCCCATCCCATCCCATCCCATCCTATACCCTTGCCCAGCATCCCCGCAGGGCCATGTCCCTACCAGGCTGAGGGTACAGGGGTGGGCTCTGCCACAGACGCTCCGTGGGGGCTGTGTGCACCTGCTGTGGAAAGCCCACAGGTGTCCCCTGCCCCCTGCAGTAACGGGGTTCCCGTACCCCGCCACGGGAACGGCCGTGGCCTACCGAGGGGCACACCTACGGGGCCGAGGACGCGCCGTCTACAACACCTTCCGAGCCGCGCCGCCGCCGCCGCCCATCCCCGCCTACGGCGCGTGAGTACCGGGGGGCTGCTGCACCTGCCTGGCCACAGGCTCTGCCCCAGCCCCAGGCTGTCCTGCTGCCCTCAGGGTGACCCTCACACTCGCCAGCCTCCTGTACACCAAGGCACAGGACGTTATTGCAGCCAGGGTGGCTGGTTTAATGGAAACTGGCTCCCAGCACGTGCAGCTGTGATGGCTTTGGTCACAGACACAGCCGTGGCCATCTGTGGCTGCTTGGCCACTCCCAGCCCTGGGATCCTCCTCTGGCATGTCCTACCCTTGGCAGTGCCCTCTGCGTGTCCCCAGGTCCCCGCCCAGCTGTGCCTTTGGGGCCTGGACAGCCAGTCCTTGCCAGCCAGCTGTGGGGCAGTTCAGCTCCCCCCATTCACTGCCCTCACCCCACTCCCCTCATCCAGGGGCGCTTGCCGGGCTCTGATGCCTCCGCCTCATTTCCAGGGTCGTCTACCAGGACGGGTTCTACGGAGCTGAGATCTATGTAAGTGACACCGTGCCCGGGGCTGGGCTGTGACGGGGACCCCATGCCAGCGCAGGGGACAAATGGTGTCACACGGGTGGGCTCTGCACCCCCAGCCCCTTCCCCTGGGCGGCAGCAAGAGCATGAACCCAGTACAGCTTCTCCAGAGCAGTCTGGGTGGCACACACCACACAGCATCCTGTGCCCAGTCCTGTGGCCCTGCCAGCCCCCTTGCAGGGCTGGTACCACGGGGGATTTACGGCCTCAGTTCCTTACACCCGCGTTTAACCTCCATGTCTGAGGAGCCAGCGGCGATATTTCAGGCGGGCACTGAAGGATTTATCTAACGTGACACCTCATTAAAGCGAGCGGGGAGGTGACAGTCTCTTCTCTGGAAATTTAATTTTTTAAGGTTAATGTTTGTGAAAGCCCCTGGGGAATGGTAATGAGGCTGATGTGTGCCCAGTGGCACTGGCCCCAGCTCCCCGTGGGCCCCACACTAATCTGTGCAGTGCCATGGGGCACCCAGCCCCCCAAAGTGGGTGCAGCCCTTGACCAGTCTCTCCTCCCTGCAGGGGGGCTACGCTGCCTACAGGTACGCCCAGCCCGCGGCAGCAGCGGCCGCGTACAGTGACAGGTAAGCACCAGGTGTCACTCCTGGGGGAGCCCCGTGTCACCCCCTGCGCTGCCACCCTGACACCCCCAGCTGCTGTGGGACAGGACAGGGGAGTCAGGCGAGCAGGGACCCCTTGCTCCCCTCAGGGCTAGGCTGGAAAGGGGGAGCAGGGAGATGCCGGGGGGCTCCCAGCTGCAGCTGGGAGGGAGGGAGGGCTCTGGGGGGAGGCAGGAGCCCAGCTGCTGTCACTAACACCCACCGCTGTTTGCTCCTAGCTATGGCAGAGTGTACGCAGCGGCAGACCCCTACCACCACACCATCGGCCCCGCCGCCACCTACAGCATTGGCACCATGGTAAGAGCAGCCCCTCGGCCTTCCTCAGCTTCCCGGGGGGCTGCAGACAGCCCAGGGGAGGGGTCTGGCACAGCGGCCACAGGGCCTGTGGGGCGCAGAGTGGGTGTGGGGGCCGTGGGAGGGGAGTGGGAACGGCGCAGCCCCTGCCTGGCTCTGTCTGCAGGAGAGGAAACCCCCACCCTGCACCCCTGCCCCACCTTCCCCTCACACCCTGCACCGTCCAGCCCACACACGCCACTTCTCAGGGGCCTGGCTGCCCCCCTGCCGGCTGCCTGGTCACCTTCCAGGACCCCCTCTGCCATCCCAGTGCAGGACAGCGTCCCCAGGGCCCCGTGTGCGGCTGCACCTGGGGGGCACTGCAGCCCCTCGCGTGCCACAGCTCTTGGCCAGCTCTGACAGCATCAAAGATGAAAAATTACACTCACGGCTGGGATCACAAAGCCAACCTGCCTTTTTCTGCCTTTTTTTTACTCCTTTGGCACCCCCAGCCCTGGGCAGCTGCTAGCGAGGGGCCACGGGCACAACATCCTAGGGGTTTTCAGCTCAGTGCCACAGCAGGGACGGGGCAGCTCCTCGGCAGGCATGGCACGGCAGGGCCACTTTGGAGGCGTTTGGCAGCCCCTGCCCCCGGGGCAGTGCCCATGGCCACCACAGAGCCCGGGCAGCACCCTGGCCCTGCCTGCCCCTCACATCCCAAGGACAACAGCGATTTGGTGTCATTTGAAAGAGGAGAAAAAAAAAAGGAAAAAAAAAAAAAAAGAAGAAGAAAAGAAAAAAGGGAAGATCTAGGCTTTGGCTATCTCTGAATACTGATTGGCTTTTTTTTCATCTTTGATGTTGCAGGCTAGTCTATACCGAGGAGGGTACAGCCGCTTCACTCCCTACTAGCAAGACAGACCCAGCCCCCCCACCACTGCCCCCGATGCTCACTAGCACCAAACCAAAGCAGGCAGACAGAGCCGAGCCTGCGGAGGACCCGCGGGTGCTGCCCGGGTGGCTGGGGCTGGCGCCGGGCTCTGTGGGGCCACAGCACCCCACACCCATAGGGTTACCTCAGCCGCTCCGTCCTGCCGCCCGCCCGCCTCTCCTGCACCATCCGCCCGCCCCGGGGACCGCGGGGTGTGGGGGCAGCCCTCAGCCCCAGCAGCGCCCCGTTCCCACTGCCGGGGTCTGGGGTCCCCCCCTGCCCTGCCCTGGCCGGGCTGCAGAGAGCTCTTCCCCCCGCAGGCAGGCGGGGGTGCTCAGCCTGCAGGGATGCTCACTCCTCAGGCGCTGGGGCTCGGGGTGGCAGCAGCCCCCCGAGCAGCCCCTCTGCCCCCGTAGGAGAGAGAGGAGCCAGCTGGGGTTGCTGCCAGCTGTGGGGACTGACGAGGCTGGGCTGGATTCAGGGTTCTGGGGCAGCCCACCAGGCAGGAGCGCTTCTCCACCTGACTGTGCTGCTCTGCAGAGTGTGACAGGCTGGGATGGCTGTGGAGCTCAGTGTGA